AACAATTTGCCCATAATCATTTCACTTCAGTATGATTTGTTGATAATAGTTGTATAACATGTGTGATTGATAATTGAATTGACATTGAACTGATATGTTTGTAAAACTGCCATGTTTGTTCAGTTTGAAACTGCTATGTGTGTAACATGTGTGTAAGTAATCACAAATACTATGTTTGAAACTGAAGAAAATGACTGACATTGAACTGCCATGTTTGTTCAAATGCTATTAACAATTTAGTCTGTGTAACCTCTATTCAAATGCTATTAAACATGGCAGTTTGAACAAATAGATGTTTTCAGTAATGACATACACTCTGTCCCTCAAATTCAAATAGAACTGCTATTAACCCCCATCAAACAGAAGTATAGCACAGCACTACAAATTTCTCATGTATGCAGATTTAAAAAATGGCCTCTTCTTCTAACAATAGCAACATAAGATTACAACCGAGGCTGTGCAATTGTGGAAGAACCACTGCCATATATATTGTAAGAACCAATGAGAATGGAAATGAAGGGCGTTTGTTCTTTGTTTGCCCATCAAAATATGTAAGTATGTATTGGAAATTTTAATCCTTTATTAGTCACATTAATATTTGTCTTATTCAACTAACTGATTGTCATGCATTGTAGAGTACCACACCCACTCCCCATTGCAATTACTTCAAGTTCGTGGATGAAGATGATGAAGACATTACGTCCAGAATCCGTTCCAACACTGGAGCTTGTGATGCTATAACAGTAGAAGACTTTAACGATGTAAGGACGAGGCATGATGACTTGGAAAATGACTGTGGTCGAAGGCTTGAAATGATAGAAAATAATATCAAAGCGATGGTGTATTTCATTATATTTTCTATCACTTTGTACTTGATCATGTAACTTTTATACTTTATTGTATTTTGGGAAATTGAATGGAAGTTTCTACTATTTTTGGTTGTATTGTACTTCATGATGTAACTTATGTTTATGGAATGAATTTTATTATGATGTAACTTATGTAACTTACTTACTAGCTTTGTGGAATGAATTTTATTATAGAATGAATGTATGGAATGAATTTTATAAGTTATTATCATGTAACTTATAATTTTATTATGAAATGAATTTTGGGAAACATTGGTCTCATTGTTAGAGCTTTGTGGATGCTATTTGGCAGATCTGTGGATGAATTTTTGTGGATGCTATGTGGATGAATTTTTGTGGATGCTATGTGGATTAATTTTTGTGGATGCTATGTGGATTAATTTTGTGGATGCTTTGTGGATGAATGAATTTTGTGGATGCTTTGTCACTTATCTGTGGCCTGTTATCTGTTGCAGGTTTTGTTATTTGGGTGAATGAATTTTGATTGTAATGAACAACTTTTGTTATCTGTTGCAGGTTTGTTTGTAATGAACAGATTTGGCAGATCTGCTATCTGTCAACTAGTATCTGTTTGTCACTTATCTATGGCCTCAACTATTATCTGTTAGCAAGTTGAAAAGTACATCTGTATTTCATCAAATTGCATCAAAATTTCATCTGTATTGCATCAAAATTACATTTGTTATCTGTTGCAGATCTTTTTGGTAGATCTGTTGTAGATATGTGGCTTCTATTTGGCATCTAAACAAAATTGAACATCACCCAAGCATCTAAACAAAATTGCATCAACTGGCAGATCTGTTTGCCATCAAAATTGCATCTGTATTGCATCAAATTGCATCAAAATTACAACAAATTACATGTAAACAAAATTGTACTCACATGTAAGCTATTTGCGAGATCTGTTGTAGATCTGTGGCTGCTATTTGGCAGATCTGTGGCTGTTATTTGACATCTAAACAAAAGTGAACATCACCGAAGATCATCACGGAATGGCCAACCATTTCAGAGATGGATCAGACTTGCTCCAAGGATATTCAAACGAAAAAAGATTTCCTAAACGAAGCCCACACCATATGTACTTCACTCAAACTCAGCCACCAAACATCTTTAGCCATTCTTCAGCAATACTCATCACTTGAAATTGAGGAAACCAAACTCATGGCAGAACTTGCCTCTGTCAAGCAAAGAAAGTCTCATTTATAGCAGCAACATGACCAGCTTAATGAAAAAGCAAGGATGATGCTCTCCTAGATTAGACATGGTCCTTCATCAATTCAGACAACTAAAGCTGAGTTGGACCAAGCCCAAGCTATGCTAGCAGATGCTCAATCAGAATGGGGTCTTCTAGCTTCTAGCCATTCTCTTCCCCATATCCTAGACTAGTTTATATATCTATTTTTTTGTATTGCATAAAATGCGTGGTAGATTTCTTCACCATTGTGTAGACTTCTTCATTAATGAATATCAATACTCTATTTCTGAATGGTCTATTATATATTTTTTTGTTTCAAATGGAGTTAATTAGTTCATAACAATGCACAAAGGGAGAAAAATTGCTAATGCACAGGTTGACCCCACGGGCTATGCTTCCATACAACCGTTGTGTTTGAAAAAATAAAACATTTGTGCCCATATTGATATTAGAGTGTATGAGACCATTGGCCGGTCGTGCACAATTTTTTATTTTTTTTTTTTGCAATTACAGTTTGTGATTCCATTCAATGATTCTGACTATTAAACCTTATTGTCCATATTCAACGATTCACAAAACATGAAGTAATCAAAAAACATAGGTTAATGATAGCTTCTGATATCGGTCAATGACATTACAAAAAAAATTACCTTGTCATCATACCAACAAAAATCATAAGACAAATTTTGGTTGATGAGGTTGACCAAAAAAATACCTTCAACAAAGTGTAAATGATGAAAACATTAAGGCATGCACTGTTGAAATGGTGAGCAGAGTTTGACGGTTTGTTAGTTCACACCCCAAACTCGCCCCTAAAAGTTTGGGCATGACCAATTCGGAAACAAACATAAAATTCGATTTACATAACATATGGGGCCTGAACGGAAGCAATTATCAACATAAACAGTATCCATTAAGCTACCACTAATATGCCAGGATAACAAACATTGTATCAAACAAGCAAACATATAGTGAACGTACATTTGAGAAACAATTATGTACATACATAAATACAGACTCGGCCCCATTATTGGGCGTGTAGCAAAAGCATTGGTAAAAGAGGGTTAAACACAAATCATAACATTAGACAAAAAACTTAGAGCACAAAGCCAAAAGCTTAGCAAGAACTCCACAAAAATAAATGAGCTCCATCTAAGTGCTTGGACGCATTGAAGTTGACAAAAGAGAAACGGACACGATGGGTTAAGATTGACCTCCAGGTTGATTACCTACAAAGACAGACATAGCACGGAGTGAGCAGGGCTCGGTGAATAATAATACTTAGCAGTTCAGTAATAAACTTGAATTATAATATGTACAAGTGCAAAGGTCATATAATTAATGTTATTCTGTAAATGTTTTCAGAGCGGCCTTGGGCCTAACAGATTTTACAGATCGGCCTCAGGCCCAACAGATTTTACAAATCGGCCTTAGGCCCAGATATCAACAGAGTAGACGAGCCTTAGAGTCATACAGATGTACACAGATTTTTCCAATCGTTCATATAGGTTAACATAGTTAACTTACGAATGACAGAGCGTTAACAGTGATTATTAACAATAAGCAAATGTACTACGACAGTACTATTACTCACAATGTTGTGGTGGAGCGATAGTTCCTTCTGGTATGTGCCCTACATACGCACGCAGTTCAGAAATTAGTCCATTTTCCTTTTTAAACAATATCTGATTCGTTTTGCTTTGAGGTCTTTGCAGACGAGGTCTTTGCACATGGGCCACACGTGCAGAGACCCTTCGCCGCACGTGCGGGAAGATGGCCGTACGTGTGCCCCGCACGTGCTTTTATTTCAGTAGCTTAGCCTCTGGTTCCCTTGTTTTCCGCATGTGCGGCTGTGAGCCCCGCACGTGCGGTCGTTGCCTTTGTTTTGTGTACTTCGAAACAAGGCACAATCCCAACTTGGTCAACATATTACAAGGTTCCAAATAGGTCAATTTATTGCAAGAATATGGCTCAATAACATATAAATATGAATCACAAACTGAATTAGGTCTTTAATTCCTTGAAACTCATAAACATAGTTCAATTCCATGATATTTCCAACTTTCACACACACACACACACACACATATATATATATACACATATATAGCCATTTGTCCACATAGATGAGCTCAAACATGACAATTGAAGAGATAAGACGTAGTTTCTCACTAGCTAGTGCAAGTTAAGTCAAAACAACCAATGATAAGATTATCTTGCCAATTAACCAATAACACACAAGACCTCAATTACAAACCCTAGATGGTATGAATGAAAGGGGATTCTTACACAAGTCCAAGAAAGAGGCTATTTCAGTTGGATTATACATACCTTGAGTCCAATTCTCTACAATCTCACTTAATCTCCCCAATCTCTTCCTTGGTGAAGTTCTCTCCCCTTTGTTCTTCTTCTCTAACTCTCTCTCAGGAGATATTTATGTAATGGCTTCCAAGTCAAATGTTTAAAGAGACATATATATATATATATATAAGTGGATTAAAATAAAAATCATTCAGTTTAATCATTCCGAATCAGATTTTTACAGAAAATCATATTATGATCTAAAAATTATGCTGAACTGAAAGGTAAAATCAATTTCAGATTATCAAGCTTCTAAGGCTTCTAATTTCTGCTCTGAACATCATAATTGTAACAGATATTTCTCTTATTAAACAGATATAAATCTCTAATCATAAGATTCACTCACTTAAACTTAATTTCACATGAAATTTCACAGTAAGTAAGCATATAAATGCACAAAATAAGGGACTAAAAACATACCAGAAAACATATACAAGGGTCGGGTTATTACACTCCCCCCCCCTTAAAAAAGTTTGGTCCCTCAAACTTGTTTTACCTTATGACAGGAATACTTCCAGATATTGGCATTGCATGTCCTCTTCTTTTTCCCAAGTAGCTTCGATTCCGTAATGTTCCTACCATTCGATTTTCACCATCGAAATCTCTCGGTTCCGTAGTTGTCTCACTTGCCAATCTAGAATTCGAATTGGCTTTTCTTCATAAGTTAACTTATCATCTAGAACGATTTGGTGGTAATCAATAACATTAGACGGATCCGAAAGATACCCTCGAAGCATAGATACATGAAATACATTATGTATTGGGCTCATACATGGTGGAAGAGCAACTCGGTAAGCTACTGCACCCACTTTCTCTAGAACTTGGAACGGACCAACATATCGGGGTGTTAACTTATCCCTTTTTCCGAATCTGGGATGCCTCTTTATCAGAGTAACCTTTACAAAAACGTGATTACCTACTTCAATTTCCAAATCTCTTCGTCGATCATCCGCATAACTCTTTTGCCTACTTTGGGCAGTTTTGAGTTTTTTCCGAATAGTCTTAATCTTTTCAGTTGTCAGTTGGATAATTTCGGGCCCTAATAATGACCTATCTCCAACTTCTGCCCAATACACAAGGGAACGACATGGTTTTCCATACAGAGCCTCATAGGGTTCCATCCCAATACTCGAATGGTAACTATTATTATATGCAAACTCTACCAATGGTAGATGAGTTTCCCAACTTTTCTGAAAATCCAAAACACACATTCGGAGCATATCCTCTGATGTCTATATCGTTCTTTCGGATTGTCCGTCTATCTAAGGGTGGAAAGTTATGCTAAACTTTAATTCTGTACCCATTGCTCCCTATAGACTCTACCAGAATCTAGATACAAACTTCGGATCTCTATCTGATACTATTGAAACTGACACACCATAGAGTCTCACGATTTCATTCACATAGATTACAGCAAGTTTGTCTGCATTGTACTGAGTTTTCACAAGTAGGAAATGGACAGACTTAATTAACCGGTCTACAATGACCCATATAGCGTTCATACCTCGAGGAGTCCGTAGTAACCCTACCACAAAATCCATGGTCAGATGTTCACATTTCCACTCCAGGATTGGAAGGAGTTGCAATAACCCTACCGGTCTCTGATGCTCTGCCTTTACTTGCTGACATTGCAAACATTTAGTGACGAAATCCGCGATCTCCCTTTTCATACTTGGCTACCAAAAATTTTGTTTCAAATCCTGGTACATTTTAGTACTCCCAGGATGCATTGAAAATCTCGAGGCATGTGCTTCTTCCATCAATTTCCGTTTAACTTTTGATACATTGGGAACACATAATCTACCTTGAAATTTGAGTACTGAATTCATCAAATTGAATCCCGGTCTCGATTTTTTCCCTAACTCGTCACAGATCTTCTTTAAAAATTCATCTTCCATTTGTCTCTGCTTAATTTCTTCAATTAATGTTGGTTGGACTGTTATTGTTGCAACCATGGCATTCCGTTCATGTATCACAAAGTCTATATTCATTTTCTCCAATTCAAATAATACTTCCTTTCGCCCCGTAAATAGACTTGCCAGATTTCCTACACCTTTCCGACTAAGTGCATCTGCAACTGTATTGGCTTTACCGGGATGGTAATGAATCTGTAGATCATAGTCTTTAATATGTTCTAACCATCGTCGTTGTCACATATTCAACTCCTTCTGCGTAAAGAGGTACTTGAGGCTCTTATGATCAGTATAAACTTCACATGTAGTTCCATATAGATACTGCCGTCATATCTTCAAAGCAAAAACCACTACTGCAAGCTCAAGATCATGCGTGGGATAATTCTTTTCATGGGGTTTTAGTTGTCGGGAAGCATAAGCGATGACCCTTCCATTTTGCATAAGCACACAACCTAATCCCTTGTAGGAAGCATCACTGTAGATCACAAATCCTTCGGTACCAGATGGTAACGCAAGAACCGGAGCTGTAGTTAACTTCATTTTTAATTCCTAGAAGGCAGATTTCCGCTGTTCTGACCATTCAAATACAACTCCCTTTTGAGTCAGTTGAGTAAGTGGTACAGCAATTTTGGAGAAATCTTGAACAAATCTCCTGTAGTACCCGACTAATCCCAAGAAACTACGCACTTCAGTTACATTGGTAGAAGTCGGCCAATTTATAATTACCTCAATCTTGTGCGGATCCATAGATACACCTTCCTTCGTTATCACATGCCCCAAGAATGCTACCTCATGTAGACAGAATTCACATTTCTTCAGCTTTGCATACAATTTCCTTTCTCGAAGTGTTTGAAGAATTAAACGAAGATGATTCTCATGAGCTTCTGCATTCTTTGAGTAAATGAGGATGTCATCGATAAATACCACCACAAACTCATCCAGATAGGGCTTGAAGACACGATTCATCAAATCCGTAAACGCTGTTGGTGTGTTAGTAACTCCAAAGGGCATAACCAGAAATTCATAATGGCCGTATCGGGTTTGGAAAGTTATCTTCTCAACATCATCAGCTTTAACATTCAGTTGGTGGTATTCGGACCGTAAATCAATTTTCGAAAAGACTTGTGCCCCTTGTAGCTGGTCAAACAAATCATTAATCCGAGGCAATGGGTACTTATTCTTGATCGTTACCATATTAAGTTCTCTGTAATCTATACATAATCGGAGTGTTCCATCTTTCTTTTTCACAAACAGAACTGGTGCACCCCAAGGAGAGACACTCGGGTGAATGAACCCCTTATCAAGTAACTCTTGCAACTGAACCTTCAACTCTTTCATTTCAACTAGTGACATTCTATATGGAGTTTTAGAAATGGGTTGAGTTCCCAGCACCACTTCAATCGTAAATTCAATTTCACGGTCTACTAACTCCCCTGGTAACTCTTTAGAAAAAAACATCCAGAAATTCAACGACAACTAGAATCATATCGATACTCCCATTCATTGCTTGCCCCTCCAAAACACTACATAAATAACCCTGACATCCTTTCTATAGTAGTTTGCGTGCCTTCATTGCAGAAATTAAGTAGGGTGGCGAAGTTACTCCATGCCCCTGAAAGGTAAATTATGATTGTCCCGGAGGGTGGAAACTAATTTTCTTAGTCAGACAATCAATTGTCGCACGATAGTCACTAAGCCAATCCATACCTAGAATAACATCGAAATGTGTCATTTCAAGAGGCAATAAGTTGGCATAAACTCAGATATCCCCAATTAGGAGTTCACAAGAAAAATATACAAAAGTACAGACCATAGAGTGTCTAAAAGGTGAAGACACACATAACATATAAGATAATACATCCTCAGATCTATCTAACTTTTGGGCAAATAGTTTTGACACAAAGGAATGGGTAGAGCCAGAATCAAACAATACATGAGCAGAATGACCGTGAATAATAAATGTACCTGACACCACTGTTGCAGCATTTTGCACATCTCCCGGAACCAATGCAAACACCCTCCCTTGTCTCGCGGTGTCTTTATTGTTAACAGGCTTTGAGATTGACTTGGTGTTGGGAGCTGGTGGTGTAGACCATGTTGAACTTGCAGTAGCCCTATTTCCATTTTGTTGATTTCTCTGAGGACAGTCCTTTACCAGATGACCCGTTTTACCACACCTAAAACATGCTCCAGTCAACCGATAGCAAGTCCCATGGTGCTTCTTTCCACATTCTGAACAACCAGGAGTTGAATCCTGAGTAGGGGTGGAAGTACTAGAGGTGCTTGAATTTTGTTTCTTGTTTGGTGGAGTGGCTGACCCCTTTGATAATTAAATGTTCTGCCTCTTTCCTTTCCACTCAAAAATCCGATTCTGAGCAGCAATGTTTCCCTCTGCTATAATAGCCCTCTCAAACACATCAACATAGGTGGGTAACATCAACATGTTGACTTGGTCAAGGATAGCATTCCGTAATCCTCCTTCAAATTTTTGTGCTTTCTTATAATCCATATCCACCATATGAGGTGCAAACCGGGCTAGCTCAGCAAATTAGGCTTCATATTCTGCAATGGTTTTATTTCCTTGTCTGAGAGTTTCAAATTCTGTCACCTTCTTGCCTCGCATACTTTTGGGGAAGTACTTGTCATAAAACCGTTCCACGAATCTGTCCCATGTTAATCCTTGGTGTACAAATCTCATAAGCATCCACCACCTCCGTGCTTCGTCTTCGAGAGTGAAGGCAACCAGTTGCACTTTTTGGACTTTGGTACAAGGAAAAACTTCTAACAGCTTTTCTATTCCCAACATAGCCTTATTTCCATTTTGTTGATTTCTCTGAGGACAGTCCTTTACCAGATGACCCGTTTTACCACACCTAAAGCATGCTCCAGTCAACCGATAGCAAGTCCCATGGTGCTTCTTTCCACATTCTGAACAACCAGGAGTTGAATCCTGAGTAGGGGTGGAAGTACTAGAGGTGCTTGAATTTTGTTTCTTGTTTGGTGGAGTGGCTGACCCCTTTGATAATTAAATGTTCTGCCTCTTTCCTTTCCACTCGGAAATTCGATTCTGAGCAGCAATGTTTCCCTCTGCTATAACAGCCCTCTCAAACACATCAACATAGGTGGGTAACTTCAACATGTTGACTTGGTCAAGGATAGCATTCCGTAGTCCTCCTTCAAATTTTTGTGCTTTCTTATAATCCATATCCACCATATGAGGTGCAAACCGGGCTAGCTCAGCAAATTAGGCTTCATATTCCGCAACGGTTTTATTTCCTTGTCTGAGAGTTTCAAATTCTGTCACCTTCTTGTCTCGCATACTTTGGGGGAAGTACTTGTCATAAAACCATTCCACGAATCTGTCCCATGTTAATCCTTGGTGTACAGTTCTCGTAAGCATCCACCACCTCCGTGCTTCGTCTTCAAGAGTGAAGGCAGCCAGTTGCACTTTTTGGACTTTGGTACAAGGAAAAACTTCTAACAGCTTTTCTATTCCCAACACCCACGCTTTAGCTTTCATTGGTTCTATTCCTTCCTTAAATGATGGCGGCTTCATCTTTTTAAATTCTTTTGTGAGTGTAACGGTTCAATCTTCAGCATGGAAATCTTGTACCACAGGCGGAGGTATCGGTGGCAATGGCGGTGGCGGTTGTGGTTGTGGTTGTTGCTATTGTTGCCGTAAAGTCTCCGCCATTTCCATAATCATTCTTTCCATTCTATCCAACCGTGCAGAAGTAGAATCTTCCGGGTCTTCCATCCTTGTTCTCACCATATGCTACATGACAATCAATTACAATATACACAAGAGATATATAATAGACATGGAGCGTAATCATTTGAGTTAACAAATATTACATATACAATTAACGTTGCCATCAAGCTTTTCATGTGCATTCAGAATATTATGCATGATGCGTAAGTCTTTTCTAGACATCCTAAGGCTCAATGGATTCGTCTATGAGATAGCAACTCGTGCTCTGATACCACTTGTCACACCCCAAACTCGCCCCTAAAAGTTTGGGCATGACCAATTCGGAAACAAACATAAAATCCGATTTGCATAACATATGAGGCCTGAACGGAAGCAGTTATCAACATAAACAGTATTCATTGAGCTGCCACTAATATGCCAGCATCACAAACATTGTATCAAACAGACAAACATACAGTGAACATACATATGAGAAACAGTTATGTACATACATATA